AACTTAAGATGTAGGTATGTGAGGTCTAGGCAGGGACCAGTAGTCAGATGTCCTGACTTGTCAACTGAATCTCGTTAGCACAGATCCAGGTGCATGTTGGGAATCAACTGTTCAACAAATATCCCTTGCCCAGGGAGGTAGTGTGGAGCCAGCAATAAGGTAGTGAAAACATAAGAGTATCATTAGGTGGAGGTTGAAGAATCAGTATGCACTGGTGACATGCTCTCATTTAATTAAACGTGTCATCTGTGTCAGGAGCATGGGGCATTGGGATTCTAGGAGGAAAGAGACCAAGTGTGCTTTGTTAGTGCTAAATTCACATCACCTAACACAATGGTTGGGATAAAAAAATTTTTAATGTTTATTTATTTTTGAGACAGAGAGAGAGAGAGAGAGAGCAGGGGAGGGACAGAGAGAGAGGGAGACCCAGAATCCAAAGCAGGCTCTAGGCTCTGAGCTGTCAGCACAGAGCCCGATGCAGGGCTTGAACTCATGAACCAGGAGATCATGACCTGAGCCAAAGTTGGACACTTAACCGACTGAGCCACCCAGGCACTCCTGGATAATTTTTTTTAAATATACGCAAGCATGAATGAATGAGAAGCTTCTGCCAGCAATGAAGGCTGATCTTCCAAAGACATAACACTAAAGCGTGGGGTAAGAAGTCTGAGAGATATCATTGAACATTTTATTTTCTTCATTTCCTTTTAAAAACCCTGCATGAGTTGAGTTAGGGAATACGAAGGATTGATGTGGGATTGACAATAGATCACTAAGAGAACCCAGCTGGAACAAAGGAGCTGAGATCACTGACAAAGATTGGAGGTTGGAGGATGGGGATGGGAGTGATGAGACGCTTGGCCAATTCAAGTGGAGCCTGTGGATGTGAGCATGACCAGAAGTGCAGGTAAAGCTCAGTGGAACTAAGCGTCCTTACAACCTACAGTTCGTTAAGGCAGGCAGTCCGTAAGCTCTGAACGCCTTTGCTGTTCCCTGCACGAGCCACAGTGCCTGATATCATGGTGAATGTGCAGTCTTTTCTGTGTGAATGAGTGAATGAATGGATGGATGAATGAGAAATAAGGGGATAGGCTGAGGTTTTCTGGGTTACAGGAGAGACCATTAAGTGTGTTGGGAAGTTGGTTTCTATTATAAAGAACGGGACATAATAGAAAGGCTGAAAAGCTGATGTCGGTGGTAGTCCAGACCTGAAGCCCACGGCCAAGCAAGGACTCTAGTAATGGGGCAAATGTGAAGGAGGCCATGTGCACCAGAACGGAGAATCTGTGTAGTCCTTCTGCACATACGAGGACCTGAAGAGCTCGGAGTAGGAAGATCTGGGAATTGAGAAGAAAGAGTGAAGCACGAGCATGTGGGACTGGTATGGACCTGTCCCGGTGATTTTTAAGTGGTGACAGTGTTGGTATGGCCTGTGTCTGGCCTGCAAAGCAGCAGAGTAGATCCAGGACTCAGGATCCAGACACCAACAGATGGTGATGGAAACTCTAAGAACAGATGCTCATTTAAGGGGTTAAGTACAGAGGACAGACACAGGGGACAACAGGTGAAGGACATACTGTAAACCGTCATTTAGAATATGGAAGATTCAAAAGAGTTTAATGCAAGCCCAAGAGAGTTACAAGGAGAAGAATTGAACCATAGTGTTGCAAGCACTTTGCAGTTGAAAGAAAACTGGATGTATCAATTGCAGTTTGGTCAAGAGAGAGCTGCAATGTCCTAAGCAAAGTGTATGCCAATAAAAGTATAATGTTCATATTACAGAATACAAAACTGGATTTTAACCATTTAAAGGAGAGCAATGAACCCAAATAGGTTTTCTCCCTGAATTGCCGTTAATTGTTTCCAAGTGAAAGATTTATCAACGAACATATTGTAACTGTGCAGCCTTCTCCTGCTATTGAACTATTTAAATACCAACCACTTTTAATAAGGGCAGAACAGCTACCAGAAGCCTTGCCTTTTAAATTTAGTGCACTGCCTTATGAAGGACACTTCTTTAAACAGAAAAAAAAAAGCATTATAAATACATAATAGTGATAAGGCTAAGATACACAGAAACGATTTCCTATCAAAATAGTCAGCTTACCTGGGATACTTAAACATACCTGCTGGTCTTTATCGGTAGAGTAATGGGTTTGCTGTACTTGGTTATATTGTTTCAGCATGAATGGATGTGTAAAACCATAATTGCTGTGCAGAAACAAAAATTTTTATAATCAATTGCCTCAAATTAATTTTGGACTCTTCACATGTTTGTAACGTTAATTCGTTTTACTACTTGCGTGCTTTACCTAATATTTAATATTGTTAAATTAGCCAAAACGTCAGTGATGCAGGACCTAGTTGTTGAGTTCTAAATGTATTTGTGGATTAACCAGGTTCTATGAGAGTTTGAACAGATGGTTTTCTTGGGCCCTGTTCAATTTGGTGGCATTTTTGCAGTAGGTAAAGTTTGGGACAAAGTGTATGACAACTAATATCATTCATTATAGGTGCACGGTTTTGATGGGCCAAATGTAACCAGCATAGAGATTAAAAAATAAATAATCTTGGATGTCTAGTTCTTTAGAAAAAGAAATCCATAATGAAAAAATCAGCTTTGCTTCAGATGGGATATTTATAATAAAAGGTGCATGAAATTCATATACGAAGGTATCACATTTATACATCAAAAGTTTTTCAGACTGTAACTTAGGGTCAGATCATAAGAGCAATAAATGGCCATTCATAAATCTCCACTGACTCAGTGAAAAAGGTATTATGATTAGTGGCTAGGTCTATAAAATTTTCTTGTATCATCTTCAAACAACTTTGTAAAACCACTCTTTATTTCCTTTGTGTTGTGTAATCTTGAAGGATTTCTTAAAGATTCAGTATCCTGTTTTTGGGTACATAGGAGCCTGTCATTCAAGAAGCATCCCAAATTGAGGCCACCAGATGTTTGCCTCCATAGTAAATCAGAGAGCAAGCATAATTTGAATATTCTGCATATATTTACATATCGATGTCAAGAGTCCCTAACTCCAATTATGTAAAATAAAATTAATTAGTGCAGCCTACTGCAAAGCCCATATTCAAATCCAATATTCAGGGCAAGACAGCCTGGAAATACCTAGCACATCTTAAAGCCAATTAGCTTGATTTCTTCTGGGAATCCAAGGGCTGGGCAGACACACCTACCTGGTGCATCCAGGAGAGCATGGGCATATAAGGAGGTACCCAGACACAGAGAATCAAAGTCAAAGCTGATTTGTCCTGAGCTGCTGTGGTTTGTTCTCTTTCCCAATGAAAATCGCCATCGCATATATTTACAGAGACTGCAGACACATTTCTTGTTATTCTCATGCTCCCCCGAGAATTGAGTGGCCCTCATTGTCCCTTTAGTTAGAGTTCGTCATCTGGCAGATAGGAGAGCCAGTGCCCCTTCCTGGTGTTAAAACTACTGTGTTTTCCTGACTCAACATTTCCATGGCTGTTCGCCGCCTGGACCTTTTCCCTCTCTTACCTGCCTTTCAGAATCCTGATCAGTCCTCAGCATCAGTTCGGACCACGACAAGCACTTAGGCTTTGTAGTCAGACGAACATCTTTTACATTTCAAGTTTGCTTGGATGGGGCCTCAGTCAAATTATTAACCGCCCTGAGGCTGGCATTTCTCATGCTTGCATGAAAAGACAAATGCTTCCTTTCTATTGTCAGTTGTAAAGATGAAGTAAAAGATTATTGCTAAGTGTGCAAAACATAGTATATATCCAAAAAATGTTAGCTTTGCCTCTTCCTTTAAGACTCAGTCCAGGTGTTGAGATGCCTGGGTGGCTCAGTGGGTTAAGCATACAACTTCGGCTCAGGTCATGCTCTCACAGTTGGTGAGTTTGAGCCCCATGGAGGGCTCTCTGCTGTCAGTACAGAGCCTGCTTCGGATCCTCGGTCTTCCTCTCTCTCTGCCCCTCCCCAGCTCTCTCTCTCTCTCTTTCTCTCTCTCTCTCTCTCTCTCTCTCTCTCTCTCTCAAAAATAAACTTAAAAAAAAAAAAAAGGATTCAGTCTAGGTGTTAATCAAATGAGAAGTCTGTGGACTCAGAGTAACCAGGCACCGCCTGCCTTTGTGTCTCTTCTCAGATTATATTGTACTTGTTTGCTGTTCGTGTCCTGAGGGCCTGGCATAGAATAGGCCCTCCTTCAATGGCTGCCGGATTGTAGAAAGGGATAGCCAATGGCTAGAAGGAGGTGACACATATAGCAAGATGTGGATGCCTTGGAACTGTGGCGATTGAAGAGGCAAGCGGGCATCTCCTCTCAGTCTTCAGTGTGATTTGGATTTACTTCAAGATAACTGGAAGGATTGATGCAGTCACAGTCTTCGTAAAAGACAGAAAAAATTAGAGTAGGTTCTGCCCAAGTCTCTCTGCCCCACATCCTCTGTGTCAAGGACAGCTGGGAACTCAGTTTGGAACTACCATTGGAGATAGATGTTTGTGAATGTCACATTCAATTAACCTGGGGGGAAATCCTAGGAAAGATCTGAATATTTCATCTGGATTGGTCACCTGTGCTCTAGCACAGACTGCCTTTAAGTGGGGACAGCTCTGGATATATGAACATAGACCTCAAAAAAGTTCCTACTAATGCGTGTATCCTAAAGGGCAAAGCTAATCTACCCCAGTTCACCTAGGCTAGTGCTCTCTAAACTGGCATGCAAATTGTTTATGAAGTGCACAGGATGATCTGTCGTGTTGAGAGAGAAGAAAAAATTCAAACTTGGATTGATGTTTTATCTCATGTTTTTAAAATTTCTTTTTCTTTTTGCATGTGCTTATCATACACAATATAATCGATCCTGTGTATAATTAATGTATGCATATGATTACACAGGGGACTCTGCTTTGGAAGTGATCGCGGTCAAGATGGTTTAGGTGACTAACATAACTGTCTCTCTTCTTCCAGACTGCAGTTTTGTACTTGCTCACGAGAGCTAACTCCAGTATGCTCAAAAGGAAGCAGAGCTCCAGGGTGGAGGCCCAGCCAGTTGCTGACTTTGGTCCGGATGAATCTCTGTCAGACAACGCTGACATACTCTGGATTAACAAGCCAGTAAGTTTCTTTTTTGAAGAATGGAGAAGCACATGCTGATTGAAAAGGAAATTTGATTCATATAATTCAAAAATCATGTACCTTTGGCTTTGAAATGACTGTTTGAGCTGTAGTAGAATATGGATGAGTCTCAGAGTCTGGAAGTTGAGAACAATTCAGACGGAATAAAGAGGTGCCGCTGCGAGTTATTCACATAGGAAGGCCTTCTGGGTGGCCTGCTCCTGCCTCTCCCCGCTCCGTCATGCTGTCCTCAGCGTAGCGATAATGCCACTTCTCAGTCCGATCCAAAGCCGGAGCCCCAGATGAGTAATCTGTTCTATCAGACTCCCTTTACTCATGGTTCTCAGTGTGCATGAATCTGTGAGGGGATAATCAAATGTTTGGAATTAAAAGTTGTCTTCTGAGTTACAAGTTTTGAGTAGAAGTAAAGGTTAATGAGGTAGTGCATAGTGCCTCTGAAGAATTTTGTCACCTTTTTTGCCTAATTAAGGTGATGAAAACTTGAGGGGAACATTTGGTACAATGTCACTGGACTAGATAGTGTAGCAGCCAGAAGGTAGAGTGGCATGTTCCCGGGTCTTCAAAGCTCATCTCTACCACACAGAGTTAGCTCCACTGTATTAGTGAACTCACAGCAGAGGCAGAAGGAAGGCAATGAACTGTTACACTCGCAGTGATTGTCTTTCCCCCGACCTGGGTAGGTATCATCTGCCCTGTCTCCCCCCGCTTTCTGGTCTTCTTCGTCTAAGCTGCCCTCCAGACTACGTGTCTGACATGCTCAGATTTCTCCCTACATTTCCATTTCTGTTCACATTGCCCTTTTGCCTTACAGTCATTGAAACATCCCTATTACCTGCATTGCAAATTAAAACGCATTAGTGTTACATTGAAGACTTTTTATATTCTGGCTCTAAGAGCCCAGCAACTGTTCCTTCCTGGATGTGCACACTGTCCACTTGAGCCTCATCATTGTCTTCCTGTTCCTCCGAGATATCCGGCCAGTTCACATGGTTTCCCTGCCTCGAGGCCTTTCCCAGCCTCTGATGAGTCAAATCCTCCTGCTTCGTTAAAGGCTGAACTACATGACCACAGAAGAGTCTCTTAAACTTTCAGTCCTAGTGTGTTCATGTGGACCGGAGGCTGCTTTCAGCATTAAATGATGTAAAGTATGTGAAAATATTTAGCACATTGTATGTACTTAACAGACATTAGTTTCCTTCTTTGTCTTCACCATGCTGGTGAAATATTTTAATCTCAGTATCATGGTTTCCAAATAGTGTGGCTTAGAGCACAAGTTGAAGATAGCGTTTTATGGTGTCACGTGGTAACTTTGGACCATTTTTGCAGTGGGTTCACTCCTTGCTACGCATCTGTGCCATCATCAGCGTTATCTCTGTCTGTATGAACACGCCCATGACATTCGAACACTACCCCCCTCTTCAGTATGTGACTTTCACTCTGGATACTTTGTTGATGTTTCTCTACACCGCGGAGATGATAGCAAAAATGCACATCCGGGGTATTGTCAAGGTGAGTGTTTTCTAACCAAAATGCACTGAGAATCTCCGCGGAGATGATAGCAAAAATGCATATCCGGGATATTGTCAAGGTGAGTGTTTTCTAACCAAAATGCATGGAGAATCTGAAGTAGTTTAATAATATTTTCCTTTTCGTCTCAGTAAAATAAAAACATCTCTTTATCCATACTGAAGTTTTTAAAAATTGGACATAACTCCAGGGGTTGGTGAAAATATGATGCCTAAGAATATTTAAAAAGTGAAATAAATTGTGTAAGATGCAAAGCCTTGGGTTATCCAGGAAGGAGCTAGATGGTCTGACTACTGGCTTCATGGCCAGAGTAGGGTTGATTCTGCCACATGCAGTTGAACCCGTGGCCTGATGCAGTGACCAGCCCACGTGTGGTTCCTGTGGATTTACAGGATGCAGAATAAATGTTACATGATGAAGTCACAGTGTGATGGTATTCAGAATGTCTTTAGTCCGAGGTGTCCTGAAGATATAAAGTGGTGAAAAGAAAGGACATGAGATGGAAAGCAAGAGTATAATAAAAGGAAGTTGTGGCATGCAATTGGCACCATTGGGAGACAAAAAATAAATAAAAAGGAAAAGAAAGAAAAAGCAAAGGAAGGAAAGTTCTGTCTGAAGATATCCCTTCTATACCACTGACCTTCACACAGAGGATAAAACTATGTAGATGACGTCTCTAAAGTATTGGAAATTGTGCTATGTAGGGAGACAGTGGTGTGATGAAATTGCAGAATGGACAAGTGAGGGTCCGTGAGTGACAGATTTTACTCAAACCTTAGCTCTTTCCTTTACTGACTGTACCAGCATCTCCAGTTACATAATTTTGGTAGAAAAGGGCCTTATTTTGTACAAGGATTTTAAGAATCTAATGAGATGATGCATAACATGAAGTTACGGGTCACTGCTTCTCTTTGTACATAATTCATTGTGTGTTATCCTTAAAAGAGAGGGATCACAGTCAATGCATTACTCTTTTCATTTTTAACTTTTTGAAAATCTTTTTCTTATGGAAAATTTTAAGTTTACACAAAAGTGAAGATTAGAGTTGTAGTGAATCCCTATAACTCAATATCAACAATTATCAATATTTGCCAGACTCTATTCATTTTAACGCAAATCTGAGAAATCAGGTCATTTCAGATGTAACTCCATATGCATTGCTGATAAAATGTTTAAACCATTACCATTGTGCTATTATTGCATCTAGCAGAATTAACAATAATTTATTAATGTAGGCCAGTACCAATTCACATTCATATTTTTCCCAATTGTCTAAAATATTTCCTTTTATAATAAGATAGCTTCTTTGAATCAGGTCTCACACAGGCTCCACAAAGGATATTTGTTATATTTTTAAATCTCATTTAAGTCTCTTTAAGCCCATTAGTTCTCAACTCCACAAACCTTGCAAAAAAAAATTTTTTTTTCATATCATGGATCCATTGGGAAAATGAGTCTTCTGTAGAAAGTTCTACATTCTAGATAAATGGTGAATTGCTTCCTAGTGGTTCCATTATTAGTTTCTCTATATTCCATATTCCCATAACCATTTTGACTTTGTAGACAACGATGTACATGGGCACCTCTTTCCCCGAGTGGTCATCACAAAGTATTTTGTAAAACTTACAGATATTTGCCAATCTGATGGGTGAGATATGGAAACGCAGTGTAGTTTTAATTTGCATTTCCGTTTTGAGAATGAGGTTGAGTCTGATTGTATGCAAAGGCCATTTTCAAGTTGTGATTATTTTTCATTCAAATTTTGGGTACTCATTGTGTTAGGAATATTAGCCCTTTGTGATGTAAATTGCATTTACTTGTCCCCAGTTATCATTATCTTTGCTCATGGTTTTTCAAGCCACACACATTTCTTCCTATCCCAAATCACGTGCTGTCTTTCCATTCTACCAAGTCTGCCCTTATGTCTTACAGGAGTGTTTTATACTTCTCCTTATATACATTTTGCACATTTTTTGTTCTATTTATGCTTTGGTGTGTTATTTCATCTTTTTCCTATCAGTATGGGGTCTTATCTTCTATTAGCTGTTGCAACTTGCTATTGTTCTTTTAAATGAAGGCTGTTATTTTATATGTTAATATTATTTCCTGCTACTTTACTAAATTTACTGAATTCTGCTTTTCCATTATTTATTTTGGCATTTCCATATCATCAAATCCTATAAAAATAAAGACAGTTTTGTCTTTTTATTTCCAATGCATATGCTTCTAATTGCTTTCGCTTACTTAATTGAGTCAGCCCAATTTTAAAAAGTATTAGAGGTGGTGAACGTAGTTGCTTAACCCCTGGCTTCTTTAGAACATCTCTAATGTTTCCTCATTAAATAATTAGAAGGATTGGAGTTTGAAGTATGTATATCTTATCAGATTAGGTGAATAAACATCAATTACAGTTTTTGACTGTTGTATCATGAATAGCTTTTAAATTTTGTTGAATGATTATTTTTCTCTTTAGCTCTTGTAATAGGGTAGATTTCCTAGTATTGAGCCATTCTTACATTTCTGGAAAAACCTGAGTGGGGTCACGGCACAGTTTAATTCCGGTTTAATGTGCAATTTATTATACTTGCTATTATTTTCCTTCTTTTAATTTTGTCTGATCTTTGTCAGGATTTGATATTAGATTTTCCGTGTGTGGGGGGAGGGGTGCACAGGCACTCCTATGCTCTATCTTGAAATTGTTTTAACTTCACGAGTTTGATACAAATCTCCTATGAAACCATCTGGTCCTAGTGCTTTTTTTTGTTTTTTTTTTTTTGGTGGAGCTCCTTTCTATTTCTGTTTCTTCTATGGAAATTGTTCTGTCTAGACTTGTGTGGTCTATTGGGGTCTGTTTGGTGAAGTTACTCTTTTAGGAAATTATCCAGTATTTAGTTTAATTTGTTAACTTAAGATTGTTTAAATAATTTTAATTTTCTCTCTTTGACTAGTACTTTCTCTGAATTTTGAATCTTTTGTTAGAGTTTCTTTAGGTTATATTGGCTAGTACTGTTTGTTTTGTTTTGTTTCATTTTGTTTTAGATTAGCCAATTGGTTTACTTAGAATTAGCTTAATCATTCTAACTCAATTTTTACTTTTGCCTTTATTTACTAATTAATTAATTTATTTTTTGCTTTTTGGTTTATTTTTTTGGTCTATTCCTAGATTTTTGAAGATGTTTTACATTGTCATTTCTTGAGATTTTTAAATATGGTACTTGATTGCCTCTGGTATAAATGTGACTATGAGACTGCTTTTTCCTTCTGTGTGATCTTTTCTTTTGAATACTGAGAGTCTTTCCTTTTTTAGTAAAGCCAGTAGTTCAATGAGAATACATCTTTTGTTGACTATTATGGATATAGGTATATCACATGATATTTATTTTATTCCATCCTGTCTTGTTGTTCTTCAGGATTTCTTTTGTATTCTAATTACTAGTATCACGTTTTGGTCATTTATTTCCATCATTTTCTTTCCATGTGTTTTGTTTCATTTGTTTCATTTTTATCTTTTTTTAAAATTCTGTTTCCTTTACTGTACTCCCCATCTGTGCTCCTTCAAGTTTACTTCCCTTTCTAAAATTTTTTTTTCATTTCTTTCTAATTCTAATTATTTCCTGAACACTTTCCTGTCTTTTTTTTCATAGTGTCCTATTATTTAGACACCATTTCTGTACTTCCCTGTTTCCAGTTTTGTGCTGCTCTTGCAGCATTTATTTTTCTTAATTTCTTTTGATCATTTTGTTATATACTACTGGAGTTTTTACCTGTTTTATATGTTTATTTTTTGTGTTTCTTATATTTTATACATTATTTTACAAATTTATATGTAAAACATACATCATTTTACATATTTATAAGGACTATGATCATATATGTAGTATTATATAATCTAATATATGATTATAATATATTCATAAGGACATGGTCATAATCCTTTTGTTCTGTTATCTTTGTTGTTGTTGCTCTTGTGAAATGGGTAGAGTAGCTTCCATACGATTTCAGGTTGAGGATTCCCTATGCCATTGTTACCATGAAGTATAAAATATATAGCTTCTCTGTGTGGTGACCATCCCAGGGCATATCTCTACCTCCTCTGAACTGCTGGTCCTCTTGTCTAATCCTTCCTATCTTTTGTCCCTCATGTCCCTGCCCTACCCACTTTGGATTCTACTCCAGGAGATTTTATTTAGCTTGGGTCTCTGGTCTCCCTGTAAGGAGTTTTTATTAGGTACATTTGGGAGATTAGGATATTCTGTTACCTCTGATCTTTCTGCAACCCTTTGGTGGGCACTTTGTTTTTATTACTTATTTTTGTTTTGTTCTTTTATGTTATATTCACCTCCAATTTGTAGACTGCTCTATTTACATTTCTAGGAATTTTGCTATGTATTCCCAGATTCACTTAGTGAGGCTCCCCCTGAGTATTTCACTAGTATTTCTTAGTAGTTTCAGTATGAAATTCTTGGATCAGCCATAACTTCCCTGCATGCTTTCCTTCTATAGCCTCCCCAAGCTGCGATCTTGAGTAGGTGTTGATACTGTCAATAGTTTTGGTCTTTATTTTGGAATGCATTGTCACATAGCTTTATTCAAGATTATGTCCATGAATATTTTTTTCTATGCTATCTCACTTGCTTTTGTTTCTTAGGAAATTTGGGAGATTCAAAGAACTACCATTATGATCTTACCCCAATTGAAGTCAACTGCTTAACCTTTAAAGCAGTTTATTTAGCATATACTTTGTGTTGGACACAGCTGCTTACTCTATGACCAAAGAAGCAAATTCTGGCTGTCTTTTTTTTTTTTTAAAGGAAGTGGTGGGAGGTCTGTTGAGCATATTGAGCGAATTCGGCACTGGAAGATCAAGCTTACACAGTACACTCCAGGGAGCTCTGCACTCAGGGCAGCAATGAGCTCAGCTCAGGTCACACATCGCAGCAATCTGGTCCACATGCCACCACTGCTGACTTTGTGAACATTGC